AAATGTACTTAATTAGAGAAAATGTTATGTATCATTATGTTATTATGTCCATTTAGAAGTAACCTTTTCCTTGTTATATTTTTAAACAGCATACAGATATCAATACAGTGATATGTATTTTAGGAAGATGTCTTGTTTATTTAATCTGTTCTCTTTCCCAAAATGCCTTCGCCTTGTCTCCTCTTTCAGCCTTCAAAATCCTCTTAAAAACCTAGCTCTATACAATGGATTTTGGTCAACAAACTTAAATTCTCCCTCCTCTTCTCCCTGCTCCTTACCTTTTCTATCAAATCCTCTGAGATATTCAATGTTCAGATAGATTTTACATTTTATATTTTTGTGATTCTCATTAATGGGGATATTAAACCACATATAATTGTTAATTCATTATTTAATTTATTCAGAAAAGTTTCTCAAATATCTACATTTATGCAGTATTATTCATGGTAAATCATTGCTATTTTTGCAGTAATTTACCACAAAATATGTAGGATAAATAGTCTATTAGCCAGTGTGAATTGCCCTGGAATCCTGCCCTGATGCAATGTGATGTGGATATGGGAAGTTTAAATCAGCCAACTGCTTAAACAGTATAAATGTAGGTAACTTGCTACAAACATCAAATTTACAAATGATTCTTTACAGAATGCAATAGCTATTTTTTTTAGTTTTCTCCTTTGAAAAAACTTCAACTTAGTGCAGTCAACTAAAGACAGCACTTGCATGGCTGTAAGTGAACCTGGTCATACAGTAGATTAGTACATTTACATCTGGGACATTTCTTCGACTCCATTCAAGACTGATGAAATGAATCTGTGAACTGTAAGGACCTTGTAGTTATTACATTTCGAAACTTCCTAACTGGTCCATAGCACAAACTGTGGACCAGTTAGAGATTAATTGCCTATTAATTGATATGAAATTTACAATCTCATTCAGATATACCATAAACATAACCGATGTTGCAAGAGGAAAAAACTTATAGATGGGATGGCTTCATTCAAACATTAATTATTGACACAAATAATCTTTTTGTTTACTCACTGGTGTAGGAGAAAATGTTATTTTGAAGTTGTTGTGATGGGGCATTATTAGACAGTAGAAGGTGAAAGGTTAGTGTGACATTAAAGTACATTACTATACTTTGGACTTTGGGAATGCTGAAAGCTGATACAGGGCATCTGAATTGGAAAAATGTTCAATTTCCCAGCAATTATATGCCTCATCTTGATGAGAATACACTTCTGTGGGTGCACACATGCTGAAATTCAAATAAAAAAGAAAGTGGCAATATATCTTTAATGTTTCTTCCCCACAGTTACTCATAGGCTGAAAGAACTGGACTTCTCACAGGTCCATAAGTGTCCGTGGCAGTTCCCAACACATTAAATAGTTCACAGCCTACTGCCTAAAAACATGAAGTCATACCCCTGACAAAAAAAATCGGGTTAATGTCTTTTCATAATATATTGCTGAAATGGTTGCTAAAGATCCCAGGGCACTATTTTGAGAGAGAAGGGTTTTCTCCCTGTGTCCTGGCCAACAGTTCTCCAAATTAATTGGTAATTACCTCTCCAACCTACTATCCCCCTACGTACCTGCCCATATCCTCCGTTCCTCTGGCTCCGGTCTGCTCCACGTCCCCCGCCCCAATCGCCCTACCATCGGTGGTCGGGCCTTCAGCCTCTCAGCCCCCAGGCTCTGGAACTCTATCCCCAGTGCCTTCGCCGCTTCCTCCCTCTCCTCCTTCAAATAATAATAATAATAATCCTTGCATTTGATATAGCGCTTTTCACGTCGGGAGGACGTCCCAAAGCGCTTCACAGAACACACTGTAAAGTGAATTGACTGTATATTTGTGGGCGAACGCGGCAGCCAATTGCGAACAGCAATGTCCCACAAACAGTCGTAGATTGAAAATGATCAATTTATTATTGTTTTTGGTTTTGGAGGGATTATTATTAGGCTCTGTGTGGAGTAAGGAAACTTGCCCAAGGTTTCGCCCTCTGCCTGGAATTGAACTTAGGTCTCTCGCTTGCAAAGCGAGTGCTCTAACCACTGAGCTACAGGACTCCACAAGGCCGGTCTCAAAACCTTCCTCTTTGACCGAGCCTTCAGCTCCCTTCTCGACTCTCTTCCCCCTCCTCGCTCCCTCCCTTCCCTCCCCTCACCCTGACCATTTCCCCCCTCCTCACTCCCTCCCCTCACCCTGACCATTTCCCCCCTCCTCGCTCCCTCCCTCCCCCTCCCTCCCTTTCCCCTTCCCCTCCCCCCTCACCCTGACCATTTCCCCCCTGCTCGGGTCATGACCCAACTGTGCAGCGCCTTGGGACGTCCTCCTGACGTGAAAGGCGCTTTATAAATGGAATCTTGTAGTTGTTGTAATTCCTCTTGTGCTTATTTGTTTGCAGTTGCTGTGTGCAAACTGACTTTTGTGTTTGCCTACAAGTACACTGTGCTTGACACTAATTATCTGTGAAGTGCTTTGAGTTTCAATGTTAGATTATAACAATCCTTGAATTTTCTGGCACCTTATCACATGTGGAGGACATCTCAAAGCACTTCACAAGATTTTACTATAAATTGTAGCAACTGTGTACCTGTAAACACAGCAGTTAATATCCCATAAACAAACACAAAGTGAACGACAAACTGGCCAGGACAGCGTTTTTTTAAAAAACTCCCTTCTCTGTTTGAATAGTGTTGTGGGATCGTGAACATTTACTAAAGCAGGGAGATGGGACTATGGTTTGACATCTCATCCAAAGGATGTTTTACATTCTGTATCAAATGTAAGAATTGCTTGTTATTGTATATGCTTTAATGCTACCATTTCTTTAATTAGCTATTTTCTGTGTAATTGTTAAGCTTTGATCTGTTGTATGAACATGAAACCCAATCATAATGTCTAAGGAACGCTCATGAAAAATATTCCTGTTCTCTTCTAAATTTTGCTTCTGCATAACGTTAAACCTTTCCAAAATCTGTAAGGTTATTCTATAATTGCATGTTTGTGTCCTGAACATGATGTGTGCTATCACCATCGCGTTAGTTTTGATATTGGCTGTTGTCGCTGCCACTAAAATCCATTTTCCATTCATCTGCTGCCTCCATTGGAAAACAATAGTTGTGAAGACAAGTCCTGAAAACAAATACGTCTCTTTAACTCCAACCAATATATCGAAAATATATATTTCAGGCCAGCCCTGTCAATATGAGAGTAAACATTAGGAGTGAAATAATCCAATCAGTTTTAAAATCTGTGTTTATTTTTAAATCAAAACAAGGTGATACATAATGCAAAATAATTAAAATGAATGAACACAAAGAATAAGCCAATTAAACCAGTTTGTTCAATTTTTCAATTGTTTTGATTGTATTTCAACATAGCTCATACTTGGAAATAATAATAAATTTGCATTTGATATATTACTTTATCACTTCAGCAAGGTGTTTCAAATCAAAATCCATCACAGGTATTTTGCTCTGAAGTGTTGTGACTGTAGTATTTTGTAGGCGAACACGCATAAAAGACCTTGATTTACAGCACTGTCCAACAAAAAGCAATGAAATTAATGAACAATTTTATTTGCGGGATTGTTAACGAGGACACAGGGATTAAAATTAACACAGATTTTAAGAGCTGGTTGGACACTCTTTTCAAGTTTCCCGTGGGATCTTTAAGGTCCAATTGAACAGGCAAACAGGATCTAGATTTAGCATCACAACCAAAGGATAATAATTTGGTCACTCAATCCACGACTGTTTGTGGAACACGTCTGTGCACAATTGGCTGCCGCGTTTCACCCACAAAATATACAGTCAATTCACTTTACAGTATATTCTGTGAAGCGCTTTGAGACGTTGCGAAGATGTGATTAGGGATTATATCAAATGCAAGGATTATTATAACACCTCCCACAATGTCGAGCACCCTCAGCACTGGGAGCGTCATCTTAGTCTGATGATGGGGCTTGAACCCACAACTTCTTATCCAAAGGATGGCACCTCTTACAATGCCACACTCTCCCAGTACTGCTTTCGAGTGTCACCTTGTAAGAGCAAAGCCCTGATGCAGCGCTTCAACTTGCAACCTTGTTTCAGATGTGAAAATGCGAGCAACTGAGTCAGCAGGTGTATGACTATTTATTAGGTATAATAATAATAATCCTTGCATTTGATAGCGTGCCTTATCACGTGGTTTGAGACGTCTCAAAGCGCTTCACAGAATACACTGTAAAGTGAATTGACCGTGTATTTTGTGGGTGAAATCACCCGTTGAAAGAAAAAGTTTAAAAATAACATAGTTTTAAGGTAAGCCGTGTACTTCAGAAGAACAGGCATAACCGAACTGCAATCGCAATCGTGTTTGACTCGAGCGCAAATCCCATTCACGACATTTGCCAATTCTGATGAGGGGGTGACCATCCGGAAACGTTTATCTGCTCCGGGGCTGATGTGATGATAATAATAATATAATAATAATCCTTGCATTTGATATAGCGCTTTTCACGTCGCGAGGACGTCCCAAAGCGCTTTCACAGAACACACTGTAAAGTGAATTGACTGTATATTTGTGGGCGAACGCGGCAGCCAATTGCGCACAGCAATGTCCCGCAAACAGTCGTGGATTGAAAATGACCAATTTATTATTGTTTTGGGGTTTTGGAGGGATTATTATTATGATGACTCCACTGCGAACCCAGTGCACGTCCCTCTCTGCCCACACCCACGCCCTGTGTGTGCTGTGTCGCTGTGTCTGTCCCTCCCTCTCAGCCCCACCTCCTCCTATGCGTCACAATCACCACCACGTGCTCACTGCCCCTCCTCCGCCAGGGTGAGGTGGGTGAGGTGGGTGGGGGGGGAGGTGCGCGAGCTGCGCGCGCTGCTCTCCTGGGAGCGCGCACATATCGCGATCGCCGCGGGAGCGCGCACGCCCTCTCCCCTCGGGAGCGTGCCGCTGACGCTAACGCCGCCGCGTTGCCGCAGTGACGGGGAAGATGGCGGCGCGGCGCGGGCAGCTCTCTCCCGCCGCTCTCGACTCCAACGGCGGCCCGGCCTCCGGCTCCGACAGGCCCGACTCCCCGGGATTCACGGCCGCTATCAGCAGCGCCAGCCCGTCTGGGGCGGGGGGCCCCGGGGGGGACTCGGGCCGCGAGCTGTTCGAGGCCTGCAGGAACGGCGACGTTTCCCGGGTCAAGAGACTCGTCGACTCGGGTAACGTGAACGCCAAGGACATGGCCGGCAGGAAGTCCACGCCGCTCCACTTCGCCGCAGGTTTGTGTGCCGCCTGAGGCCGGGGAGGGGCGGCGGGCGGGCGGGCGGCCATTGTGTGTGTGTGTGTCAGGCCGCGGGCGGGAGGCCCCGGCTCCGGCCTCCTGGGCTCTGTGGCCTCGGCTCAGGGAGCGGCGCCGCTGCTGCTTTAGCAGCTCCCGTTTTCACGTATGTGAATGCGCTCAAAGCTCATCTGTTTCTTCTCTCCCGTCTGTACGCACAAAATGCACCTTGTTTTTTCAGTGCTTTCATTCTCTGTGTGGTTTGTGGGCGCTGCGCTGAACTGCACGACTGGATTTTGTGCACATTTTTGCATTTTAAATATTTTTGTATGGCTAACACAATGCCATCTTTCTAATGAGCGTCAATTCACTCAAATCACGTAGACATGTTTAGGTTGAGAGCGGAATTGAAGGTTGCAGGATACAATGATCAAGTCTTTGTAGGAGAGTAAACCGCATTCTCGCCGAATGTGTACGCAGATGGTTTCCATTTAACTGCCGCTATATTATATCATTGCACCGTTTGCAGGAAGAATAAGCTCTTGTATTGAGAACTTTTGTATTGCTTTTGTATAAGCTTTTGTATTGAGAGTCAGTAGGAGAGACGCCGTGACCTGAGATACTGACTAACAAATCTAGTCTCTTAGAGGATGTAAATCTAAATGTAATGTAAATCTATGAAGATGTCTGCAATCAGGACTGACTTGAAAGAGAGAGAGAGCACAACCTGACTGACTGGAGACACTGCGAGATCCAGTGACATAATAGTCCAGACCCTGCCATATAGACAAAGCTGAATTGTGGCATGTGATCAGCCTCACGAAAAGAAATGGGTGTTTGTGTGTGGTTGCCTACACATGCAAAATATTTTTTTGTTCAGTAATGTATCTCCATTTCCATGAAGCTGAAATGATGTTTTGATCTTGGGCTACACAGAATATCTCACTGATATGATGCTAACAAGTTCTGTAATAAGAAGGTGCGAAACATAATTCCGAGAAAGAACAAAAGGAAAAGAGTGATTAGGATGAGAAATTATAAAACGAGCTAAAGATAAATCAAATGGCAGGGAATAGGGGAAGGCAAAAGCACTCTCTGAGGCAGAACTGAGAAAAGAGATTACTGAAAATAATCGAAATGGCAAAATAGATTTAGGTATAAGCAGTATTTGTGCAAATACAGTAGTTGACAGTAGAGTGAGTAGGTTATAGATATGGTTTCTAGGTGGGGACTTAACAACAATTTGCATTTATATAGTGCCCTTCACACAGGGTAGGTAGCAGCTCAGAGCTTAACTGGGGACTGACTATCACTAATAAAACTACTTAGTGATTTGGATACTCTTGGTAATGTGCTGGGCTCCTGCATGTCTCAGACATCCAGCTGACAAAATATAATAACCCTTGTGGTTGATATCGTGCCTTTTAAATTGGGAGGACAGTTCAAAGCACAGAATTTACTGTAAAGTGTGATCACTGTGTATTTTGTAGCCCTAACATATCAGATAGATTGCTTGTAGAAATGTTCCCTAAACAATCATGAAGTGAATGACCAATCTTATTTGGGGATTTGTTGGCCAGGACATCAGGAGAAACTCCTTTTTCTTTTTGAATAGTGCCATTAGATCTATAACATCCTCCGGAACAGGTAGATGTTTCAACCAAAGGACAACACTTTCAACAATGAGGCAGATGCCCAGAAATTTATTGGAGTGTCAGCCTGGACTTTTTAAGAGTTCAAAGTCTTGACTTGCAATCTGTGACTCAGAGGCACGAGTGCTACTAATTGAGCCGGGTTCCCAGAATTTCTGAAAACTCTTCCACTTTGGACAGGCTACATGAAGCAGGCCGATGTTTGCTCAACAGGGCAGAGGGGTCACAAGGTCATAGATATCAGGTGGAGTGAGGCCATAGAGGCATTTGAAAGAATAAGAATTTTGAATTGAGGTGTGGGCTGCAGGGTTCTGGTTGGCCTACAGCTTACGTGGAAGGAGTTGGGGAGTCTGGCAACTTCTGTATTTGAGAAGGCGATCCTAGTGATTGTCTCCATAGCCTGTGGAGAGAAAGAAGTGTTAGAGACGTGAGATGTTGTGGAGGTGAGGGAAAGCAGAAACAAAATGTAATTAAGTTTTGCCAAATGTAACACTACTTTATAGTATGCCTTGAATTCTTTGAAATCAGTCTCGAGTTCAACAGTATTGTTGGAGTTGCTGTTCTTTGGATGATGCGTCAAAGATCCTATGACACCTCACCTCTTGAAAAGAAAAGTTTTTTTTCTCTGATGCTGGCCAACGGAGAGTGCATCAGAATGTTAGTTATTTACCTCATGCCTGTTTGTGGGACCTTGTTTGTAGGACTCAGCTATTGCATTTGCCTACAGCCGCTACACTTAGAAACAATTACATGTGAAGCATTCAGAAGTGTTTTGACAAAGTATTACAAAGATCCAAGTGCTCCTTGTCCTATGTTGCCCCCTTGACTGAGGTCTTTTACTTCTATGTCAAATTAGTATTGGGTGGCATAAGTGAATACATTACAGTGAAGGGACTAGCATTTATTAAACTAGACCTGGCAATATTATTGTTTGGTGATGTAAATCGATTATCAGAATTAAATAATTTGATTTAGCTATGTTTGTACATATATAATTTCACATATTCATTGTTCTAAGTTGTAAAATATGGATGAAACCAATTCCCGGCCAGTAAAGCTTTAGTAATCAATTATATAGACTTTTGAGAAATTGGATAATAACAGATAAGATAGACTTGATTCCCAAACTGCTGGGATGGGGAAGTGTTATGTATGGAATGCAGCAGACCTGCGGTGAAGAGTTGAAATGAGAAGGCACATAATTAATCTGCAATTTTTATTACTTTGGAGGTCAGGGAATATTTATTCATCATTTCCCCCATGAGATAAATGATTTGCATAGGTTCTATGAATGGATAGATTGTGCAAATCTTGAGGAATAAGCTATCTTGGTGGATTAGAGCAATAGACTTCCCTTTCTTTGCTTTTTTACATTATTGCATACAGCAGCCTTTTGTAGTTTTAATATGTGGACAATATATATATTCCTTAGAAACCTGTACAGCTGTTTTAGGTTAATATGGACACTTAAATCAATATAATTCTCTAGAAGATTTGCGAAATAGAACAACTCACGATGTAATAAAGTAAAAAAAAGGAGGGTTTAAAAAATTATGTGGAGTTCAATCTTAAACTAAGTCTTTTAAAAATTACTTAATTTAATATTTTCAGGACCTATGTACATTTTTCTTTATATGGAATCACGATTTATAGTTCCTGCTATAGAACAGATTGAAATGGCGGAAACTTGGCTATATCGCTACTTTCATGACTAATTTAGTTTCATGGCATTAAAGAACACAGTACAAAGTTCCTATGCTGTGATATGAAACCTAAGAGCTTTTAGCAGAGACTGCAGAATGAGCCCTGTGCAATTTGCCTAGGCACACTTATATTTGGGTGTAAATTGCACTCCACAAGAGCAGGACTCCCAATATGATTCATTTTGTCTGAGCCACCAGTTCTGTTGCTGGATTTGCAAATTGTTGACATAACTGTGACAATTCACTGAAAATGGTGCAGTATACATAATTCCATACAGTGTATACTGCATAAACCCTATGTCATAAAATAGAATTCAAGAACTAAACAGAGGCTTGGCAATATATTTTATATATAATTTTGATAAATTATGCACTAGCTGAAAGGGTGTATTTTTTAAAGTAAAACAAAGCCTATTATTGGGATAAAAGATAAAAAATTAAGATTAATTTTCAGTAGAATACATTTATATGGTGCCTTTCACATCGTGAGGATATCCCAATGTGCTTAATTTCATTATTGCAAGCTTTTAATTATTTGCTTTTGAGTTGTTTGAGATTTTTCAATAATTAGTGTTATATTCAGAGTATAGGGCAGATTTATTTTTGGTTGCACAGTGTCTGACTTGGGGAAAATCCATCACCGTGCTAAAAAGTGTCCAAACCAGTCTGAGGTCCACATATGTATAGAACAGCAACCAATAAATTACACTTATATAGCGCCCTTCATGTCGGAAAGACGTTGGACAATCAGGTTTTGGACCAGAGCTGGGAGTTGGTGTCAGAAGGGGAGGAGGGCGTTGGGAGTGGGAAGGTGGCTGAAGGTACATTAGAACAAGTTGTTGCTTCTCAACTTCGCTCCTTCCTCTCCCGCCACTTCCTTCATGAACCCCCTCTAGTCGGGTTTCCGTGCCGCCCTCAGCATAGAAACAGCCCTGGTCAAAGTGACAAATGACATTCTGTCCATCTGTGACCAGGGCTCCCTCTGCCTCCTGGTTCTCCTTCACTGTTCTGCTGCCTTCGACACCGTCGATCACTCTATCCTCATCCACGGCCTCTCCTCTCACCTCAAGCTTCACGGCTCTGTCCTTGACTGGTTCAGATCATACCTCTCACATCGCCTCCACTTCATCTCCACAAATGGTTTCTCCTCTAGCTCACGCAGCGTCTCATGCTGCGTTCCTCAGGGCTCTGTCCTTGGTCCCCTCCTCTTCAATATCTATATGCTCTCTCTTGGTGACATCATCCGCAGACATGGGGTCAACTTCCACATATATGCAGATGACGCCCAACTGTACCTCTCTGTCTCCACCCTTGGCTCCAGGACCACTGACAGAATGTCTGTCAGGCATCAAGACCTGGTTGAGAGCTAATTTTCTTCGGTTGAACGTCAACAAGACCGAGGCCCTCCTAATTGGCTCCACACCTCAGGCACTGACAGCATCACCATCCATAATAATAATAATAATCCTTGCATTTGATATAGCGCTTTTCACGTCGGGAGGACGTCCCAAAGCGCTTCACAGAACACACTGTAAAGTGAATTGACTGTATATTTGTGGGCGAACGCGGCAGCCAATTGCGCTCAGCAATGTCCCACAAACAGTCGTAGATTGAAAATGACCAATTTAATTATTGTTTTTGGTTTT